CCACTTAAGTCTTAAGATATACTAGTCAAATAATTAATATTTCTGGAATTTGTAATTATCTTTCTAATTGACTAGAGATTGATAATTCCTCTTATGCCAAGTTTTGTAATCGAAATGAACATTACATATGCAAATTAATATTTTAATCAAGAAAACCTACTGCAGATTAATATACATTGTAAAAATGCTGAACAGAAACACCTTCGTAATATTATCACAAAAATCTTTAGGCGAGGACAAACTATCTAAGTTCGCATGCATTCTTGGTCTAGGTAAAAGAACAGAACTGATCATCTTCACATAACTCTGACACAATAATATAACAGAAATCTACGCAGATTAGTATTATGGCTAAATGTTACGTAAACGGGACTGAAAATTGAAATCATCGTGTAATGGTAAACAAAACTATGAACAAACATCGCCGTCAAATATTTCGTGTACAAATTGAATTCAGTTTGTCGACATTGAGAGCAAACAATGCTTATCTTTCTTCGGGTTTCATCCTTCAGTAAGTAGGCGCATTTTAGCTTTTCGCGCTGATGAGAAATTATGCATCTAGTGAGCTCAAAAGGACGAAGTGACATATCAAGAAGATGGACTGATGATGATCGTTTATATACATTTGTTCAACGCAACTCACGTGGATTTTTCTTTAGATTCTTCTTTAGCATTTTCTTCTGATGATTCAGCTCCCATATTCAGGAATGTCATCTTCCCAAAAGATTCTTTTGCATCTCCGAAAAAATCCTTCACCTTATCCACAACAGTTTTGAGTTCATCCTGAGTTGGAAGCTGGAAAATTGCGCCCAAAAAAAAAAAAAAAAAAAAAAAAAAAAAAAAAAAAAAAAAAGGAAAAAAGGGAGAAAGAAAACGAACATGTAAGAAGCAAAGCTGAAAAAATCGTGCGAAGTAAACATAACATGTAAGAAATGGTGGAAATTGGGCAAAACCAATCAGTAGGTCCCCGTTGCTTAACATTTTGGGGAATTTAATGTATAAGGGACACCCAAAGAACATAATAAGATGCCAGTAATGAACTAAATACCTCAATCACACCGTTTGCGGCCAGTGCGGACCTCAAATTGTTGTTTTCCTGTAAATATTCAAAGTGGCGGTGCATAAGATACTAAAAATGGCTCGAACACTTTTGACGATTCGAGTTTTTACGCAACAAAAAAGAGCTTATTAAAAACATTACCACAAGTTTGTAGCCGTATCGAAATTCTGTTGCCGATCGCAGCATACGAAACTGTTTCCTAGCAATCTTCTGCATTTCCTTTTCGTCCTGTTTCCATATAAGTTCACAAAAAAAGAATACTTAATTCCTTTTTTCCAATAAAAATAGGATGAAAATGTAAAGGAAATAATAGAGGGTCAACTACAACACTCAGAAGAGCTAAGGTCCTAATACGAACAATAATATGAACAATTTTTTCGACTATTCCTTAGTACACTAATTTTGAATCATTCAGACATCTACTGCATTTAAAATATTTATGTCTAAACCCAAGTATGGTACCGGTTCAAACTCGATCACTTCAAGACATCTCAACAACATAACAGACCACAAATAGAATCCTACACAGTGGACAGAGAAACGACATATAAGCTACGATATGATATTTCATTTCAATCACACAATATAACTATATCTTTTCGCTTCTAGAAACAAACAATAAGGGCACAAAAAACTCATGGACGACTTAATTTTGACACTTAATTGGTCACACAAACATATATGAATTCTGACTTGTGTAATGTCGGAAAAATATTTCAACTAAGGGAAAGCTTGAAAACAGCAGCAAATGAAAAATCTGCTCTCACTAGGGTTGATCAGCACATGCTTAAATGAAATATCTGTTCTGACTAGTGTTGTTCGTCACATACATAGAGATGAACGCGAACAAAACCATCATAGGCACAAAACTCACTCTATATATAACAGCTGCAAGATTCCTAGCCAGAGTGTCTTTGTATATATATTTCCCAAGAAAACTGTCCTTTGCGGCAACGATGATTTTGGCGGTCGTGCCACCTGTAACGATATTAAGTGGGTACCAAAGATAGACCTGAAGAAAAGATAGTAAAAGTTTTCACAATTCAGAAACAGGACACCTTACGACATTTCAATTCGGCCACGAACCATTGTCAAAGCATAACAATGTACGCAACAGACTTACCGTAGGCAATCTGTATTGAGTTATAACAGCTTATTGCGTTGCACACAAATCCAACATATTACTAAACTATATTCTCCACCAAAAGATGCACTAGAAACTATCGGGAATGCGTATCGAAGTCTCATCTCTTAGTATTTCGGTTGTGCGAAATTTCAAATAGAAAGCATCATTACATTTCTTAGTATCGATATTTTCTGAAATCAAATTGCCTGCAGACGGAAGCTCGAAAATATAGGCGGCCATTAACAAAGTTGCAAGTTCCAACCTAAACTACTTTTCTTGCAATGTGGCTCAGCGACTCGGCGGTTGAGTGCCAGACTACATAAAAGATTGCTAAACAAAATTCTGACGTAGTTGAGAAAGAGAGGGAGAAAGAGGACTAACATTAGCCATGCGAATGAAGATTACAAACTTTGGGTTGCCATCGTCTTCAAGCTTGGGCAGTGGA